AATTCCAACAAAATGTAAAAACACGCTTGTAATACTAATAATACAGGTTACTGTTAAACTTTAATCACTTTCAAACAAACATTAAGTGAATATATTATATTGACTCTCAAGTTGCAAACAGAAAGTGTTTGGGTTTACCATTATAAAAAAAAAAATAGAACAACGCATGGACTATTATGGCGAAAAACAAATGATTCGGAAAAGCCAGATCATGTCTAGTTAATATTATTCATCATGAGACAGATGATAAAAAAAGAACAATTTGTTTGTAACATTGAAAGCCTCGTGAACCTTCCGGCATCCTCAGTATCTTAGTGGATCGGCAGATTTGCATTGATAATATTTATAATCTTTTTATATTCGCGTACAAGTGCGTCAGCCCGTAGATGTAGACACAGAATGTGACTTAGCACTGAGAGCCATTCTTCTTCTTCTCATGGCGCCGTCTCCTTTCAAAGGTTGGCGATTCAAATGACATTTGTGGTTTTGGAAACTGCTGCGCGAAAGATTTCTGCAGATGAGCGGTCGAACCATCTCTTTAGGTCTTTCAGCCATGAGTTCTGGCGTCTTCCTACTGATCTTTTGCCCTGTACTTTTCCATCCAGTATAACTTGAAGTAATTAATATTTTTCGCCTCTCAACACATGACCCAAGTATTGCATTTTTCTCTCTTTGATTTTTCTTAGTAATTCTTTTTGTTTACACATTCGACGAAGTACCTCAACATTAGTAACTCTTTGTACCCATGGAATTCTCAACATGCGTCTGTATATATACATCTCAGAGACATCTATTCTTTTTTCTATTTCAGAGTCCATTGTCCAACTTTCACAGCCATACAGCAAGACAGAAAAAACGTAACTATCACCCAACGGGAGCCATTGGATGGCAGTTGATTTAATTGTTCCAGCTATCATCTTCATCGTGCTGTGCAGCCGAGTGTCGGCCTTTTTTTACGTGAAGACTCTGTAGTCAAATTGGAATATACTATTTATCATTCATCATTAAATGCGTAAGAGCCAAACTTTACTTGCCACAATTTATCAGGAATTTAGATAAAACGTTGTAAATTCCTGGTGCTTTTGCTGGCTTAACGTCTTTAAGAGCTTCTGATATGTCTTCGCTGGAGAGGGGGTGGGAATTCTCTTTACCTGTGGCTACATATTTTAAGCTTTTTAGATTTCTCTTCACATTTCTAAATCTTGTGTGCTTTCTGTTTTTGCACTCTGGATGGTTTTAAAATGTGTAAGCAGGACCGGACTAGCTCATAAAAAGGTGCCAACCCAAATTCTTAAAAAAGGCGCCAACGTAAGCTCTAAACAAATGCGCCAGATGCCCCCCTAACTTTTAACACCAGATTGTTTGAAATCCTATTACATGCAAAGTAAATCAATATGATTTGAGAATTTTTTAAAGTTTAATTTTAATTTAAATCCATAAAATAATTTACTATTTTTATTGGAAATAAGCCACAATTTTACTTTAAAATAAGTTTATTTTGACGTTTCGATTTCCCCGTAGAAATTACCAGCAGGATGCCCCATGACATGCCAGTTGACACCGTGTATGATCAACCGGTGGCGTGGGACACACATTTGACGACGAGCTTTTAAAACCGCAACAACTTTAATTTACGCTATGGGAGCTAAAATTACCGCGGCTGCTAACACCAGACTTGCCATCCAATTGATTCTCGTTAAAGGGTTTAGAGTACTTTATAGTGTACTTATTCCGACTACTGGACCTTGGATGAGTCCCGTATCGATATTCTGCGTCACTACCTCCTCGTGCCTTGGATGTACCAGTAGTGTCTCAGGCTCCCTCTCCAGAAGCGAATCCTGATTCCCCGTTACCTGTTACAACCATGGTATTCGCAGAACTTACCATTGACAGTTGATAAAATAAAATCGTATTTTAACTATATAAAACCTATATCTACAAGAAGCAATTATACGTGGATGCCAACTAAAAGACCCTTTTTCTCTACAATAGCGCTACAGCCCAAATTGATCCTTGCCTCCTTCCAACTATGCCTTATTCTCCAACATTGCTAGTTCAACGTCGATATTCTCCAGCTTCTCCTCCTCCTCCTAAGTGCCTTCTCTATTGATGTTGGTGATGAATATGGCAAATTTCTCTCTGTTCTGGGTCTCCATTCTCACTACATGACCAGCCCATCGAAGTCTCTGAAGTATAACGAATTCTTAGATCGGTGCCTCTTTGAACAGTTGGTAGAGTTCATAGTTGTACCTTTATCTCCATAGTCCATTTTCGTTAATAGGTCCAAATATCTTCCTTTGGACTTTGCGTTCGAAGACTTCAAGCTTTTGTTTTTTGTTTTCTGTCATCACCCATGTCTCGCATCCATAACAGACTATTGGTCTGATACTAGTTTTGAAGACCCTGATGTTCGATCTCCAGTGTATGTAATTGGAGCGGAACACATGGGAAAGTGGACAGTAATCATTGTTTCCCTTTACTATGCTTCTTTGAATTTCTGGTTCTTCTTTCCTTCTTCTTCTTAAGGTACCGTGCATTTCTGCATAGGCGTCCACCGTACATCGTCTTGTCAGGTGAGATGTTAAATATTCAGGATTAAATAATTCTGTTTTTAGCAGCATTGCGAAGCATTTCATAGCTTCTTTCCATCCGTGTTTAATGTAACTTCCAGATATGTGAAACTTTCTACACTTTTAATATCGTCCTCTAATTCAACTGTACGTCTGTTTCTCCTAGCTCTTGCCTGTCTTAGTTTTTTTGTCTTTTGAAAATTTATTTCTAGTCCGGTCTCTTCTGCCCCTGTTTTAAATTGTGAATATATTTCTGTCGTCCCTTCTGTTCTGCGAGACATGATGCTAATGTCGTCGGTATAGGCCGCACTCTGTATTGATTGATTTGTTAAGAGATTACCTTTTCTATATTCAGCTATTTTATCACATATTCAAGAGTCAGGTTGAGTAGTGTCGGGGCCTGCCTATCTCCTTGTTATGTTTGTATGCTTTGACTATTGAAAAGTTCTCGTGTCTGTTGACGAGTCCATTGTTGCTTTTACTAGTTGGATATATTTTTGGGGAATGTTAACGATATGCAATATTTGATATAACTTTTGTCCATTAATGGAGTCGTAGGCCTGTTTGAAATCTATGAATATGTTGTGGACGTCAATGTCGTATGCCCACGATTTGTTTATAAGTGAATAGCTGGTCGCAGTTGTAGATCTTCCTTGGCGGAAACCGGTTTGATATTACCCGATAATATTTTCAGTTAGTTGTTGGAGTCGTTTATTTAGTATAAAATTAAAAACTTTGTACGCTGTGCAGAAGAGGGTCATGTTATATTCATGGTTTTCCAGTCACTACGGATCTTTTCCCCATTTAAAATCTTGTTGATCAGCAAATTTTTGCATTTGTCTTAGTAGGTGTTCGCCACCTAAAAGACCCTAGAATTTGGATAATAATGATTATATCTTGATAACTTACCCATTTTTGAAAATGAAAATGAAAGTTAGGTACATAATTTTTTTTCTATTTTATACATTGCAACTATTTCATTATTTATAACATATTAAGTCCAGATTCCTCCAAACGAATTATTTTAAAAAGTCGAATTATTTTTTTAAATTGGTAGAAAATTTAGGAATAGTATAGAATTAGTACCAAAGGCACGCGCTACCTTGAAGTAGGTACAGAAGAGGGAAAAGCGGTTAATCCAGCCATTCAAATGGGCCGGGTGACGGCAGCTATTTACTTTAATGGGCTTTTCTCGAAACCACTTTTATTCAATTGAGTGTCATTCACATTTCGAAACTGTCGCACTTATCAAGATGAACCAAACGGCATTTTACTCTTTAGATATCTTTCTATAGTTGGTGCTACAACCAAAAATATTCATTGTTATTTAAAAAAGTTATAAACAATTAATCGTACAAAAAAAGGTCAAAAATTCAAAAGTCCGCTATTTTTTTTTGTGAAAATTATTCATTGTAGCACCGACCATAGCCGATTCCATGCAGAATTAGAAACCAATAGTGTTTTGCTTTCGGATGATTCCAAGAAATGATAATCCACCAACAAATTTTTTTTTGTACTATAAATAAAATTTAGTTAAAAAACACGTCTTTTGGAGGATGCTATTCGCTCCGTGCGTGACTGATGCGACACCTACCGCCTTCATCTGACAATTTTGGAGTCCCAATTTTCAGGTTAAATATATGACATATGTTTGACATTGTTAAATACATGCGAAATTGACAATTATTAATAAATTAGTTTTTTAACTATATTTTTTCAGTTTATGTACAAAATAAATGTAGTATGAAAAACTGAGTTTCTCAAAATTCATCATAATATATCTTTTCAAGTCCAAACGGAAAAGAAAGCGAAAAATCTAGTACTGGCAAATCAAGTTTTTCACGCAAAAGAGCATATAATTAAAAACAATAATAGTAAAAGTTATGATATAAAAGCTAAAGTCATCTGCAGTTAGCTTGAAGCCTTATGAAATATCATTCAAGGTAAATTATTTAAATTGTTCCTATTTCAATTGCATAAAAATGAAATTATGTGATATTTACTTTTTCATATGAATAGCACGAATTCATCTTTTTTTTTCTCTACTTTATATGTAATCTTTGGGAACCTATAAAAACTACACTCACTGTTTTTGCTATTATTAGCAGAATTAAATACGCAACATGTATTTGAACACATTTTTGATAAAACTTATGCGTAAAAATATTTTGTCCAATATTCCAATTTTGTCATATTTCGCCGCTACGCACGCTGGCATCGTTTCAATGTATCCCTACCATGGTCACGCACGGAGCGAATATAAAGTAACAAAACGATTTGACTCTGAATAATCTGATCATCAGACAAGAACATAACGAACGAACTTTTGTCAACGTATCTGTCAGATTAGTGCTTTTGATTGACGTTTTGTGTTAAATAGGTTAGGAATAATATTTCTTTGGTTTATTTATGTACATAAAATTTCTTTAAATGTCCGAAAAAGATTATGCCCCTCTTAGTTCTGCATGTGTTCGTGCTTTGAACGATAAACTTTATGAAAGAAGAAAAACGGCGGCGTTGGAAATTGAGAAGTAAGTGTGAAACCGCCTACCTTTGTAATATTTACTTAACTTTCAGCTAAGTCATTTTCAACTATTATGGGGTGATATTAATTCTTTACTTATACAATGCCTCTACATACTGGGCCTTACCTAGTGCAGTCGACAATATTTTATATCCCATTTATTTCCTATTTATCAAGTGTCAATTCAAAACCCTTAATCCCTTATCTGACAGAATTTTTATAAGATACAGCACTATAATTTAACAAATATGAATGTTAATAATAGTTTATTCGTCTTCCGGGTTTGGACCGTGTCATTTGTGAGTGACCCAAAAGTGGGTTCATCTCGACGTTTCGCTACAATTATATGTAGCTTCTTCAGGAGAAACAAAAAAAAAAAGAAAAAAGAAAACAAAAGAACAGGAAGATGGGTAGTTAGCAACGGTAACTCAGTTACTCAACGCAACCAGAGGCGAATACTAACTACCAAGATGGGCATTTGGTCACAGTAACTCAACTACTCAACGCAGCCAGAGGTGAAAACCAAATGCCAGGACAGGGATTCACGTCCAACAGCTCAGAACACTAACGCGTCGAGAGGCGGGGAGTGAATCCCCACGGATTCACTCCCTGCCTCTCGACGCGTTAGTGTTCTGAGCTGTTGGACGTGAATCCCTGTCCTGGCATTTGGTTTTCACCTCTGGCTGCGTTGAGTAGTTGAGTTACTGTGACCAAATGCCCATCTTGGTAGTTAGTATTCGCCTCTGGTTGCGTTGAGTAACTGAGTTACCGTTGCTAACTACCCATCTTCCTGTTCTTTTGTTTTCTTTTTTCTTTTTTCTTTGTTTCTCCTGAAGAAGCTACATATAATTGTAGCGAAACGTCGAGATGAACCCACTTTTGGGTCACTCACAAATGACACGGTCCAAACCCGGAAGACGAATAAACTATAATTCTGACTCTGGCCGTGGAAGCCTACGATTTCATATGAATGTTAATACTTAATTTTGTATTGTTATATTTTTGTTTTTATAAGAATATGACTTGTTAGTAGGTTTACACTTGATTTTATTTAATCTTTCTTTTACAACTGACATATTTCTTTATATCCTTTATTCACATATTTGAAACATTTATTGCTTCAACTTCTTGGACAATATATTAAGTTTGTTTATTTAAGCCTTTGGATTTAGGCTGTCTTCAGGCAAGATCCTATTTCAGTGTTTGCCATTACCATACAAGTAACATCAGACTTAGACATAGACATCGAATATTGAGTCAAAAAGAGAAACTAGACTTAAAACCAATCAGAACTTGTTGAATATGTATATTAGGGAAACATTGAGAGAAGATATATTTAAAATCATAAAAGCACAAGTGTTGGACTGCTTGGATGTAGATAGGGGAAAACCAAGGTCATGTATATACACATATACAGTGGAAACTATGTGCAAATGTAAATTGGGAAATACCAACTATATTTTAAGAGATACACTAAAATTAAGTATTTAAAAAGGCGAAAAGAAGTCCAAATCATATAAAAAATGATTGTGTAATGTAACATTTTGCTCATTGTGGCTATTATAAAAAAAGGAAAAGAGAGTCAAGAAAGATGATGGATAAAAAAGTAATAATTAAAAACTATGATCCAGTATCCTACTTGTAAATTTGGTGTAATCATATGTAATAAATCTGCAGCTGTTGGTTTTCAATATCACCAACAAGATATACGGTTGGATCATATATTGTGTTGGTTTTAATCCAGGTGTTTTGGTTTTTTGATCAGAAGTTTTCAAATTACATTTTTTTTTATTAAAGAAACTTTAACAAAATTGTTTGTTTTGTTTAACAAAATGAACATGAAAATTAATTTGACTTAACCAAGTGGAAATGTGGTTATACCACAGCTAACACTTAATCAAACAGTAACACAGAAACTTCATATTTAAGTCAATAAAAATCAAGTACTAGAAATGATATTTACTATTATGGCTATGACATTTTGTGGCTGTTAGGCGTTCTAAAACATTTTTTTTTCAAAAATACCTTTATGTGAATAAAATAAAAATAATTTTGTATAAAAAATTTGTATAATAATGTATTTAAGTGCATACATATGTTAAACCATAATAAATATGTGTACCTACATAAATAATTAAAATGTATTTCAACTGTGTATTTTACATTTCTTCTATACTCCCGCCTTCCACACTTTCACTGCCACTGTCGTCATTAAGATTTATTATAACTGGGTCGATATTGTACAGTAAATTATCGATATTTCACATCTGTTTTTCTATGCTAATTTTGTGTTGCACGTAATTATTAAATTTTTGTGGAGTAACTTGAGAGTAACTTCATGCATTAGATTTTCTACTTGTTCCTTCTTAAAGTTTCTGTTATAATCTTAGCAACTTAACATTCTTACTTTTTGCAATTTCATCTATGATATGCTCATCATACGTCGATTTCAAATGAGCTACAACGTCCAACAGTTCTGATTTTATGTAATCTTCTTCGAAATAAATATCCTTTGAATGCAACCACTCCTTTATTTCATCCTTATTGTGAGAATTGTTCGGAATTCTTTCCAACTTCCTGAAGTGATAGGACGCATTGTCCATTATTATTACAGTTTTATCGGGAATATTTGGAATAAGTTTAGTTTTAAACCAATTTTCAAAAAGATATCCATCTTTTATATATCCATCATCATTACCCATGATTCGTCCAAATATACAATGTTGTAGTTTTTTTTCCTGAAATGTACGAATTTCTCGCAAATATCGAAAGAAATAATTTCGAGTTTTTCTATCAATATTGACTTTCTGTCCCGTTTTGTGTATACAAATCCCATGTCCTTAATTAGTCTATGCAGGTCTAAAAAATTAGGAAATGTTCGTCTTTATTTACTACTACTAATAGAAAATGTAATGTTGGGGGTGTATTCTTACGAAAAAATCATGCACTATTCAACGAATGCTACTCTTTGTTTCTTCATCGTAAGTTTTATCACGCGATAATGAAGTTAGCTTGTTCTTGGATCGTCTCTTGCTGGTTGTAATTCAAGTCCGAGGAATTTTCTTTTCTTACAGAGTAAATTGTTTTTTTTTTGGAAATGCCGGTTTCTACTGCCACTGTTTTGTATTATTTTTGAAAGTGAGTCATATCCTTGATTTACACGATAATTCACCATGTTGACTAAGATTTGTTTCTGCCCTAATGACAATGCCTTCCCCTGGGGATGTTTCACAGTACTGTTCTCCATTAATAAATTCAATCGTTATAACACAAAAAACCACAATCTAGTCGATACGAACTTCAACGAATCAAATGAACTAACTAAAATTAATTTCAAGTTTAAAATTTATACTAAATGTTAATGAGGGTATAAACACATTAAAATGATTTTAATTTCAGGTTGGAAATCAATCGTTAAGAATAACAAAAAACTGCAATTACGATTCAAATTTTACAAATAAGCAATGAGTTACTCAATACAATGTTATCAGTAATAATTATGAGGTTATTTGATATTCTTCGTTATAATTTAATTTAGGTGAACTGACCATCAACAATTATTTATTTATTCTCAACTGTAGGACAATTGTTTAACTTTACTTAAACTTGACTGACAATCTATTTTACATTTTTTTTGACATTACTTCAGAGCTGTCAATATTGTGAATACATAAATTAACAATCATAGAACAACATCCACTTTTAATGTTGGATATTCTAACATTTGCCAAAAAAGTTATTACGTGCTGATTACTTTTCGAAAATGACTATCACTCACAAAAAACAATGAAAAATATTGTTTTACTACAATGCTACTGACTGTAACGGGTTAATTTTAATTTAACATTTTTAGGGCCCTACATTTTTAGGACCCTGGTAATATTCAATTGAAAATTCTTTTGAAGAAAATCGGCATCGCCGCGCTAAAAGCTCCCATAAGGATTGCATTGCCGTATGTTCATATACTGTAAAGCTAAGGAGGGACAGACTGTAGACATATATTGAATTGAGTTAAATAACCCGCTTTGTCCCTTTTTTTTTGAAGAAATACATAATCTACAATAATATACTTAATTAACCATTAACAAATAGTGAATCTAGATAAAAATATAAAATATTTTATTTTACTAACATTCTTGCTTATCTTATTCAAAGGAGATAATTACAGTCTTGTTATTACATATATTTTGCTTTTTTAACACAAGTTACAAATCTATTTTTATCAAAATGTTTTCAAAATCTATGCTTATTTCTGTTCCACTTGGCTCTTCCATCAGTACCTCTTGCATTATTCATTTTTTATGTCTCCTCTTACTTAGTCATTTACTACATATTTCGTTTATACTAGTGCATATCTATATTTACTAGTACTTATTCTCTAATTACTATTTTCCTGTACAGATTTGTACAGGAAATTGATGTTTTCAAAATCTATGCTTATTTCTGTTCTACTTGGCTCTTCCATCAGTACCTCTTGCATTATTCATTTTTTATGTGTCCTCTTACTTAGTCATTTACTACATATTTCGTTTATACTAGCGCATATCTATATTTACTAGTACTTATTCTCTATTTACTATTTTTCTGTACAGGTCCATATTTATATCTCCCTAAAATATTTCCTTTTTTATCTTTTTAGGTTTTTATTCTGTTCACTTGCCAGATTCCAGGTTTACTCAATACCCATCTTGATTTCATAATATTCCATTGAGATAAAAGCATTTGTTTACAGTGAATTTTTTGCTATTATGTCATTATCTTTATTCTTATATCTAGGACAAATCACTGTGGTTTTTCACAGTTCTGGTGTTACTTGTATATCCCATATTAATTGTATTATAATCAATATCTCTGTCGAGATTCTCTGGCGTTCATATTTCCCCCATCTGTTGGTCTATATACATTTACACCCCCTTTTTTAATATGTTAATTTAAAATATTTTGTTCATAATTTCCAATTATTTTTTAAGGATGGTTAAAGAATTTGCTGCTGTAAATAATACTGGGCAAATAAAAAAGATCTTAAAAGTTTTGGGACAAGATTTTTCACTATCACAAAATCCCCATGGAAGAAAAGGAGGTTTAATAGGACTAGCAGCTATATCTATAGCTTTAGGAAGAGTAAGTATTTAAATTTCAAACATATAAGTTCTTTAAAATGAAGTTTCTTATTTAAAGTGATTTGAGTGTATTATATATTGTTATGTTTCAAAAATATGCACATTCAAAAGTTTAAATGACAGAGAAAACGAAGAATGACAAAAATTGTTATTTCTACATGTAAAAAAAATTAGATGTTTGAGAATCCTGAATTCGATTTCCATTTATATTCTCGTTAGTAGATGTTGCTCTATCGTCCGTCGGTAAATATTTTAAATATTTACTTTTGTGGATGACAAAGGTTTTATTTCGTTAGAGCTTACCATGACGTATCTTTACATGCACTCTTCCTTTACCTTTTCTACTGCTTCCAGACCTGCTGCTGGCAGACGATATAGACATGGTTGTCTATATGGTCTGCCATCTTTCTTGTATTTCCTACTTGACTGGGATGTCTAACCCGCTATCTGTTGCTTCCTTTAGTCTGTTTACTACCTGTTTCTCCTGAAAGTGTTCTAATTGGTAATTTAATCTATCTTTAACAGGTTGTGGAATTTTTGCCAGTTCTTATTCAGTCAAAGGTTCCCCAATGGGATCTCCCCTCCCCCCGTAATAGCTGATATTTTCATGGAACATTTCGAAACAGCAGCCCTGTCCTCATCAAATCTCAAACCCACCTGCTGGTTACGGTATGTTGATGACACTTTTGTCATTTGGCCTCATGGTAGGGACACGTTAGATCTCTTCCTCTCCCACCTGAATGGAATACATCCTAGTATTCAATTCACGATGGAAGTTGAGTCTGAAGCATCTTTGCCATTCCTTAATGTCCTTATTCAGAAAAACTTACACTTACACTTACACTTACACTCATACAAACCGATATCTTAATGCCCATCATAGGTCATCCGAAATCAATTCAAATATATATATATATATATATATATATATATATATATATATATATATATATATATATACAGATTGAACGAAATAAATTCGGAACATAGGAATATAATGTATTTCGGCTCAATTCTGCTGTAGGTGGTTGGCCAACAAAATATTGTCAAATAATTATATTATAAAAATCCAATACTTCACCGGGCTGCTGGATTCTGAACTCATAAAAATTGAAAGCTACACATAAATCTACGATCTATGCTGTCAAACCAGTTATAGTCCAGGAAATGAAGCATTTCACCTCGCAATTTTTTCGTGCTCCCTGAATTGACTTGAAATTTAACAGAAGGTAGGTACCTAATAGCCTAAGGATCAAAATCTATATCGAACCAAAGTGCGCCAAAGCCTAGGGGGTGGTTGCCACCCCATCTCCGGGGTGAAATTTTTTTTTTACGTTTTAACTACAGGTTTCGATTAAAAAAGTGATTCTAAACAAAAAATGTGCTATACATTTTTTTTATAAAATGATATTTTTCAAGTTATTCGCGATTGAAAGTAATAACTTTTAGACGAAAAAATCCACGTTTTTAATCGATTTTTCGCGAATAATTCGAAAATGGTGCATTTTATCAAAAAAATTGTAGAGAACAAATTTGTAGCTTTTAAAAAGACAAATACAATTCATTTTTTAAAATGTTTTTGGGATATAATAGGAACCGAAATGCGGCCTATCAATGTTCAGCGGTTTTCTTCAAATGCCAAATTTGAAAGATTCAAAATCAAATATCGGGAAAATGATGCATTTTGGAAGAAAACTCACAAAACCTTTTTTAAAGAGCATAAATAGACCTATCATAAAAAAGACTCTAGCTCAAAAATTGAGTGAGTTATGATGAAAATAAGGTCAATACCTCATTTTTTACGAAAAAATCGATGAAAACATCCCCCTAACCACCACCATAATTAAAATCGATCTTCACCCTTTTGAAATTCCCTTTGTACATGTATTGTTAATACGTCCAAGAAGTTTGACCCATTTAAAATGCTTTGTGTTAGAAAAAGTACCGCTTAAAGCGAGAAACGATTTACAATTTCATATTTTTTACCCTTCTTTTTTTAAATATGCCCGAAAATACTGAATATATGAAAAAAATACAAAATACCAAATTGTAGCTTTTTTAATGACTAAAATTATCCTTCATTTAGATTTGTTGTACAATGAATATTTGGCGAGATATAGCCGTTTAAAGCATCGATTTACGATCAAGCACCATCTTTTTCGAGCCCTTTAAACTCACCCCATTTAAAAACCAAGGGTTCCAAAAAGATTTAATTCACAGATTCTTGTAGCTCTTAAAAACCTCTACAAATCGTTTTTGAAGAAACACTCTATCGTTAAAAATTAAAGGAAATACGTTAAAAAAAACCAGTGAATTTTTTTCCGGAAAATTCTATTAGTATAGTACAGTACATTTCGGAGCATAATAATCTACAAAACCGGTATATTAGCTAGTGGGGCGTTATACATTCGAAATTTTAAGCGTTCTTATTTTGAAATCCCATACAACAGAATAAAACATCTGCTCATATGTCTATGGCTTGGCAATGAAAATATTAGAGCAACAGATTGGGGATGGTATTCCAAAGATGGTTTGTTATTACCCGTACGCATGAACAAACAACCTGCACTCGATGAACTTTTGAAAATTATTTTTTGGCAATGCAAAAAAGGATGCGGTGTTTCATGTGGGTGCACAAAAGTTGGTTTATACTGTAACTCTACTTGTTCTGGGTGCTCAGGTGAAGGGTGCAATAATAGTCCACCAATAATTGAAGATGAGGATGACATAGATCACGATGAAGATGTAATTGATGACGAATAAAATTAATATTACAATTGTTTTACCTACAAATGTAAATATTTTCAACTATTTATGTAAATGTATAAGAATTTTTTTGTATTTAATTCTACTTTTTTCAATTTATATCTTATAAATTAGTTTATAAAAACTGCAATGTTGTAAAGGGTGATTTTCAAAAGTTGAAAAGTTGCAAAATTTTGGCAAAAAATTGTTTTCACCTATAGCACTCATAACAATTGATTTTTAAGGGTTGAAAATGTATGAATTTTTATTTTAAAGTATAAAAAAATCACTATTTAACTAATCCAAACCAAATTTCACTCATCTTAAGATTTATAATATTATTTTACAATTTTTAAAAATTAGGGGTAGTTTTCACCCCTAAGAACAATCAGGGTTCATCGGCATGACATAAACTATAAAGCAGAGGGTGAGTTGAGCTTAATTCCAAATTTTTATGCAAATCGTTCCAAGGTGAAATCATTTTCTCGCATTACTAATTTTTTTATATTAATCTCTAATAAGGGTCGCTTTTTAAGGGTTGAAATATGATGGAACTTTATTCAAAAGCACAAAACTATCAATATTTAATTAATTCAAACCAAATTTTACCCATATTCAGGTTTAATATGTTATTTTATAATTTTTGACAATTACGGGTAGTTTTCACCCCTTAGAACAATCAGGGTTCGTCGACATGACATAAACTATAAAGCAGCGGGTGAATTGAGCTTAAATCCAAATTTTTATCCAAATCGATCCAAGGCGAAATCATTTTTTTAGAATTAGTAATTTTTTTACATTAATCTCTAACAAGGGTTGCTTTTTAAGGGTTGAAATATGATGGAACTCTATTCAAAAGTATAAAATAATCATTATTTAACTAATTCAAACCAAATCTTACCCATATTCAGGTTTAATATGTTATTTTATAATTTTTGACAATTAGGGGTAGTTTTCACCCCTAAAACCCTTCGGCGCACTTCGGTTCGATATAGATTTTGATCCTTGGGCTATCACCTACCTTCTGTTAAAATTTGAACTGGATACATGCAGGACGAAAAAATTGCGAGGTTTTAACTATTTTCGAGCTACATTTCCTGAACTATAATCGTTTCCTTAGACAAACCCGTCTTATGCAAACAACATTGTTGTGAGACAGGTAGTTGAACGATATTTTATACAATGTCTATACCCAGGTATGGATTTATTTTTGTCCGAGTTTTATATTGGTCCACTATTTCAAATGCAGTTCAAACACACATGTATTAAATTGTATGTTCCGTTTTAATTTGGTTCAATCTGTATATATATATATATATATATATATATATATATATATATATATATATATAATATATATATATATATATATATATATATATATATATATATATATATATATATATATATATATAGTAAACTCTTAAATATTGGGAAAATCTGCAAAAAAAACTCTAATGTGTATCAATTATTTCACCTAACGTTTTCGCCAAAGAGAATTAATTTGGCTTCTTCAGGGCTGAAAGAGAATAAATTATAATTAGCTACCATATATTATCTAATAAAAAACATTTACCTTACCGTAAAATTTTAGAAATGTCGAGTTATGATGTTAAAAAACTTTAGCTAGTAACATCATAGTGGTGTTTTTTTGTTACTATGTGCAAAAAAGTTTATTTATTAACGTTGGAAATGTATGGTAGCTTTGAACTTAAAACGCAAAGGTTTACCCAAGGACAATCGAAAAACCCAATGTAACTACATTTAAAGGAAGTAATTCTGTGAATTGTCGGCAATAACTAAATTTTTTAATTGTTGTAAAGTTTGAATGTGAGCTTCTGTTTTCATAGAACGCAAGCGCCGAACAATTACAAGTAGTTCTTTTGATATCTATGTGGTTAAGGTTCATTGGAAAAAAGCGATGAAGTTAGATCCCAGTCTGGGGAGATATTAGTTTAGAATTTTCTTAATTGAAATTCTTTTTTTTTAATTAGTATATTGTTCATGTATTATTATAATAATATCTTATTGAGATGTATCTAAGAAAAGCAACGGAATGTTATCTTTTTTTGTTAATGAAAATTATTATTAAAGTAGGTTAGTTGTTAATAGATATATCAGTCAAGTTAGTTATCTGTGATGTTGTATTGTTCTTGGTATCTGATTTAAGTAAGAAGTGGTATATATCGCTTAGATTCTTAATGTCACTCTTAACATTGATGGAAAAATCGTTAAGGAAAATATAAGACATTTCAA